ACGCAGCTCTCATGTTCGACAAGCCCAGAAGAGGGCTCTCGTTGAGTTCTACTGCATCAAATCCTCCTCGAGAATCTGTACACACCACGCCTCGTACTCGCGACACTTGTTGCTCCATAAGCGCCACAAGATTTTGTCGTGGAGGTAGAGAATCTCTGCGTCCTCCTGCTCCATGTAGCTCTGACCAAATCATCCGTGTTCGAAAATTTTGGTCTTCGCCTTCAAGAACAGCTTGTACCTCAGAATCATTCGAGCTGATCGCCTTCCTCTGTAGTTTCCACGTCCGCCAACTGAGAAGTGACATCTTGCACACTTCTCCTGTTAGACACTCAGGGCCTGCAACGAGGGTGATAATCCCTCCAGTTGATTCCCCTTTTGGACGATTCGCATGAGCCGAGTCGCCCATGGTAATGAAAACCACTTCAGACCAGTGCTTGGCCTTCGGGAAGCATCGAAACTCCAGTTTGGAAGACCACTGCCGAACTTCGCTGACCAGGGTTTGAATCTCTCTGGCCACTGACATTGTCCCAACTTTCAGGAGCTCAGTTAGCAGCAAATTGCATCGAGCACATAGCAAAGGCTGTGTTTGTATAGCTGCCCATTGAAGAACTCCCAGTGTAGCTCGACAAGCCTCGACGTCTTGCTTGGTGAGCGTCTCTTCGGTGCGTAGACGATCAGCATCAATCTCGACGTCCATGATGGTCTCGATGTAGTAGGACTGGTCCACCACAATCTTCTTGTTCTTGTTTTCATCAAGAATGGTAGACACGTCTGTCCCGGCGTGTCGGTAGGAGCCAGTCTTCGCCATACCCCACTTATAAGCACTGTCAATCTCCTTCTTGACGTCCAACCACTCAGGGCTTCCGTCACCGATCCGGTGAAAATCGTCCACGTGGCCACCCATGGCGCCGATCACCTTAGGATTGTCACCATCCATTCGTTGTTTGGAAAGCCATATCCACAAACAACGCTCGCCGATGACTGGTTGACCTCCAAGTTCAGTCAGTCGTTTGTGAAGAGAGAGCCACAATCCACGAGGTGCCGTCGTTGAACCATAAATGTTCCTCAAGATCCGCATGATGTTTTCAGACCCCACATCCAGTGCTTCACGAAGTTCTTGTACTCCAGAAGTCCACAACTCCTGGTCAGCTTCTGTTGGCTGGGTTTGCAGAAAAGCTGTAGCAAGATCCAGCCCTTCAAGGTCCCACTGATGATGAGCTGCCATAGAGTACAGTAAGTGACGTCCCAAGGAAGACTGCACTGGACTAGCAGTCTTGAACGTTGGATCGAGTAGACTGGGATGTTGGAATCCCAAGAGCACAATGCGGGCCTTGGCCTTTACAGCACCATCGCGGCCGTGTAGAGTGTTGGGATTCTCACGCTGATCCTTGCGCGCCTCATCACGATCTTCTGGAGGCACTTGCTTCCAGGTAAGAACCCACCGTGCCTTCACAATCCGATTCGTTGTGTAGGCGTGACGAACTTCTTCATTATTCTTGCATTTCCTGACCGCCTCATTGGAAATAAAACTGTCAACTTCTTTTGCTTTGGCTCGGGTGAAGAGTCTTCGCTCATGTTCGGGAAGTTTAGCAAGAACCACCTCGCTGTCACGCATCTTTTTTACCATGAACGCCACCGGGTTGCGAAGCAAATTCTTCTTTTGTCTATTTGACATGTCGCCACCAATGTCAAATTCAATCTTCAAGAACTCCTCAGTCTCATCCATGGCCGTGAAGATGTCCAAGCCTTGGTTCTCGTGCTGAGCTTCCGCTTGTAGAACTTCAACCCAATTGAGATCACCATCATCAGTTCCGGACTTGAACTTCTTGGGTTCCGGCGTCTCGTACTCGTTCACATCTTGTTGGTGTTTGACAGAGGTTGTCGTAGATGATGTCGCTGGCGCCTCTTCAGGTGATTCCACAGGTTCTGAGGGTCGAGTCTTTTGACGAACTCTCCGAGTAGGTGGCTTGACAACTGTAGATCCATCTGGTTCTCGGGGTAGATCTGGTAGCTCCACCTCGTCTTCCGTAGGCTCGTGGTCAATCAAGTCATAGTACTCCTTGCTGGGCAAGAAGTCGTCGAGAGATTTCCACTCGAAAGGTTGATCCACACCGCTGCTCTCATACTGAAACTTCTCGGTTTCAGTCACTGGTCTGACGGAATGCACGGAGCAGCGGAACAGCTGTGTACCGATCAAGACCCAAACCACATGACGCCGTTGATCTCCATGTTGTTGGTGCGGAAGAACTTCTGTGAAAACCACCCGTCCAGGACCAATCCAATGAGGTCGTCCAGACTTCCGATATCCTCCTCGGGGTCCTGCATGTAGCTCTTTGGGCCAAACCTTTCTCCAGACTTTGACAAGATCCAGAGGATTGTAGGTTCGGAGAGGTTGTCGAACAGTAGTGTTTCCAAGCTTCGTGAGAACGCGCTTGGCTCTGGTTTTCTGAGCCACTGCTTCAGCTTCTTGTCGTGCAGTCACCAACTTCACATAGTCCACATCTGAGCCAATGCTATGAAAGGTCCGAACATCTTCATCACTGAGGCTTTTCCAAACGCCCATTGAAACGATGAGAACCCAGCCGTATACTCAGTGCTGTTGAGCGCGGAGGTAGCCAAATACAAGGTGATGAAGGGATCTTGTTCAAGGTTTTCCATCTGTATGGCGGAGGCTGCGTGCTTGATGTCCTGGACTGCAGCCTCAATCGTTCCATGAGCCCAGTGTTCCTTTTCCGCCACCAAATGGACCATGACATTGATGTTTGACGCGAACTCGTGCATGGTTTCTGATGCTAGACTCTTGGCCCAGTCCAGAATGAGAACCTTGGGCTTGGGAAAGCATGACAACCATCTCTCCGAGAAGGAAGCAATGATGTCCTTGGTGCTCTCCGCCTTCATCTCGAGCAGCTCATACTTCTGTAGGGGATGTACCACTCGCAGCTTCGTCGCCATATCCACGAAGAGCACAAACTTGACCTTCACTCGAAGAGAAGGCACCACCCATTCACCAACATCTGCTCCCACGGCTTCCCATGCAGAGTACTGCTGATGCGTAGAAGCCGGCGGTACTTGTCCAGAGCTGGTGCCTCCCTGCTTTAAGCTCTGACACGCAGGACACACATGATTCAGGGCCACGTCCACCTTCCATGGAGGATGTCCAGCCTCTTGCACAATGCGTCCAAGGTTGCGATTGGTGGGATGACCGGCAGCCTTGTGGAACTTGGCAACCTGTGCTTCCCATTTCTTGTACTCAGTGCGGCTCACCCCTTCAGGGAGCTCTGGTTCTCGCTCTTCAGTGGACGCATTGTTTTCCAACCTTGTAGTTGATGACGTCGAAGGTAAAGGAAAGCCAAGTTGCCGAAGTCGCTGTCGTTCTCCATCACTCAGATCCACCATCTTGCGTGTGGTGTACGCGGACACGGTGATGCGAAAACCTTTCCACTTTTCGGAAGCATGCCAACCATCCGGGTCAAAGGACACAATCTTGTGATGAGTAGGTAGGACATGCCCTTCTCGTAGTCGTCCATCAGGGGTCTTGCGTCGACGGGGAGGTAGTGAAGGATGTTGTCCAGCGACCCAGAGACCACCGCTGGAGTAGGGTCCGAGGCCAAGTAGATAATTGCTGGATCCCTTCAGGTTGTGAAAGTCTCGGTGAGGTAAGGCTGGGCAATTGAAGGACACCATCAAGCTCGACCAGGTACCTTGTGGTAGATGTCGTCGTAAAACGGCATTGATGTACTGGGTGATCTCTGTCATCTGTTGGGTTCTGACAGTGATGCCACCGAAATTGCCATGCGAGTATGCGCCAAGGACGAAGGACTTCTTGCCATGTTGACCCCACCGGGAGTGATCTGCTTCAGCACCATGAACTTGCGCAGACAGTTGCATAAGGATCTGCTCCAGAGATGTGTAGTCAAAGTTCCCCTGCTGGATGTTCTGACGAACCATATCTGAATCAAAGACCCCTGCTGAGACACGTTGTTCGCTTGAAGACGATGTTAATCCTTCCAGTTCCCCTGCTGCGACACGTTGTTCGCTTGAAGACGAGGTTAATCCTTCCAGTTCCCCTTCTGTCACCATTGTGTCCTCAAGGAACTCGGAGGATTGATCATCGCACACTCCATGGTCACATCCTTCATCTTCATCAAGAAGGGCCGCTTGATCCTCGCGAAGCGAAAGTAGTCGTAGATGACGTGGTGGTACATCATGTTGTCGCCAATGTCGAGCAATTGCTTGCACCATCTTCCACGGGTAGTAGGCCGAGTTCGCTGTCTCACCGCCCTGTATGTAGGCATGTTGTCCATGGTTGCCAGGACAAACCTTCGCCCGGAATACCCGATGGAAGTTCTCATCCGTCGTCTTGATCATCCATTTCTTCTGGAGAAACAGCTCGCCCTTCTTGTCCTTCATGCCGTAGTTACACCCATCCACACGACAGGATAACCAGGAGACCGCTTGCTCTTCAAGATGTCGTTCAAGATCTTGCATAGGTGACTGTTTCCAGCCAAAGCATGGATGTGGCCACTCAAAGTAGATCTGTGCCTCCGTGTCCTCACTCAGGGTCTCCTTGATAAACTGATTAACATGCCAAAGGAGACGGCGTTCTCGTCGACGTGCAGTTTCCAGTTTCTCCTTGAGTTCGAGGGTGTTGTAGTTCACGGAGGTCCAAGCGCACCACTTTGTGCATGGCAAGGAAAACCACAGTCGCTTGGGATGATGTTGTCGTCGAAGACCGCGAAGTTGGTCCCACGTAGAGGACTGGTAGAGGTCATAGCCATTCGCCAGGTTGATCCTTCTCGGCTTCAAATTGTGTTCCTCAGCCGCTTCAGATAACCAGCTGTGCGGTGCGCAAGCAATCTCCCACAGCCCATCTCGTTCATGTAGATGCAGATTGAGAAGCAAACTTGAGGTCATAGCCGTGAAGAGCGATGTCATTGCCATCAACCTTTTTCCCACATAGACTGGCACTTGCGGCTTGTGCGTCACAGGCTTCAGTGGTATTACTTGGTCTCGTTCTCGTAGGCGGCCACCAGCTCCTCGTCGTCGATCATCCCCCAGGCTGTGCTTGTAGATGGTGTCGACGGGGTGGTGTTCGGGTTCTCCAGAAGCTCCTTGGTCGACTTCTCCAAAACCGCCTCCGCTGTCAGCTTGTTCATGGCATGGAGGCACACCTTCGCTGTGGGTTTCACGTTGCCAAGTTGTCCCCGTAGCTCCTCCAGCATCTTCAGGACCATCGGTGCGTTCATGGTTTGAGTAGAATTCGCTGGTGAGCCTTTGCGCGGTGTGTATAGCAGCCGGAGATTGCACACCGAGCATGTCACCCACTGTCCGTGGGGGTTTGCTTCGGGCGCCGATGGTCGGTGGCGTCCAAAACAAGGCCATTGACTCGGCTGAGTCCTCGGATCTCTCGGGTCTGCTTTCATCCGCCGGGGTGCGTCGAAGGATCTCGGTCTGCTCTTGGCCTTGGCTTTGGCAGCCTTGGCCCGGTACGACTCCGCCAGCAGCGCAGCCACCTCCGGGTCCGGATCGTGCATGTCCGCTGACGATGTCGCCATTGCTCCGCGAAGAGGAAGTTGTCGAGAGAATTGTGGCACTTCCAGTGCCAGGCATTTGAGCTGAAAGAGCTGTTGATGTTTGCAAGGATTGAGAAGCGGCATACAGTCTCCACATCCTATCGCGGGCTGCCGACAGCTCTTGCTCGTCAAACTCAGCATCGCGCACAGTCATGTCCAACCAGATCGTGCCTAGCATAAGCCCTTGTTGTTCATGAGATGGACTCGAAGGAACAGACGACGGTGACCGAACAACAACATGCGCTTGACCTTCATGATTCACGCAGCCCTTGGTAAGGTGATGGACAATATCCAGGACGTAATGGCCTTTGTGGTTGTGTTGTAGTCGATATGGTTCAGGGTTGGTATCCTTGGTGTTCATGGCTAGTCCACTTGCAAAATCTATCATCATGCCAACACCATGGGGGCCCAAATAGTCCATACCAATCAACACAGGCACAAGAGAGCTCTTAGATAATCCATCCTGGTAGTAGTTGTCGGGATTGGGCAAGGCGTAAAGGGAGAAATGTTGATGACCACCCGACACTTGGCTACTCAGGTGCACACGACATAAGGCACGACCCCAGCGACCATTCCCAAACCTGAAGTACGGTCGCGCGGACTGCTCAAGTTCGATCTTGGCTCCTCGGTCCTGGGTGAGAACTGCAGAAATGAGCCCCCGCACCACGGCTTCAGGGGCCGCGGACGCCGTGGCGCCGCAGTCAATCATGCCGGTCCCCGGCGACGAGGAACTCTCATGAGAGGCCGCTGCTTCCAGGACCTCAGACACTTCCAAGCCACCCAGGAAAAACTCAGACGAATACGCGTTCAAACTCCGCAAACCATCCTTGCCACCAACACCCTTGCCTTTGGCTTTTGACCTGCCTTTCATCCAGGCCTGGGCCTCCATGGCCATCCCTTTCTTGGACTTGCCCTTGTACTTTCCCTTGGTCTTGCCCTTGAAGAAGTAGTAGGCGTAGTTCTCGTCCATGTCGGTCATGTAGTTCCGGTGATAGCCCTTGCCGCCCTTGCCTCCTTGATGAGCTCGGTCTGGACACTCACGAGCGAAGTGATTTCCACCGCAAATGAAGCATTTGCCGGCAGAGGCGTTGGAGGGAAGACCAAACCCACGATCGCGCCTGAGGGCCTGTGTGGCGCGTTGCGCCTCCGACCACGTCCTTGTGGCTTCGGCGGCTAAGGATTCAGCCACTCGCTCAGCTTGCTGCGCCTCTTGAAGTTTGGCCGCCAGCTCTGGATCAGCTGGAGCCTCATTCATAGTCTGAGCTTCTTGGGGCCATTCGTGCTCCCACCAAGTGTCATCATGGTGATCGGCATAGGCATCCTCGTACCACCAATCATGGCCCCATCCATCATCATCCCACCAATCACTCATCTCGTGCTGATAGGACATGTGGTCGTCGACCGCATCGACCAGGTGGGCATTATAGGAACTAGGATGGTGCCGGTGATTGCCAAGTAGCTGATCGTCCCACAGACTCTGAAGCGCCGTAGAGATCACGGTGTAGTCGAGGGAGTTCTTCGTAGTGCTGAGTATATCTCGTTTTTCATCAGCATTAAGTCCAGCTGCTTGCAACAACCTCCAGCCTCTCAGCACGTCCATGATGAACGAATCCGCAATCGAGAGCTCATCCAGGGGAACCTTGGCATCGCCGGAGTCCCCTTTCTTGGAGCCGGCCTGTGAGCCGGAATCACCAGGTCGATGACTCGGTGATGATCCCGTTGCACCTCGAGGTAGTGCCGAATCGTCGCGATGATCTTGTTGTCCTGCTCCTGTACTGGTAGGGGGATCTCCATCAGGTACAGGACGATCGCCAGGAAGATCTGCATCTTGATAGTCATCATCGCCATGATCAGCTGGGCCTCCCCAGCTGCCACCTTCCCACCAGCTTTGCTCCCACTCAGAGTCGTCTGGCAGGCCAAAATCTCTCATATCTTGAGCAACACCAAGCTTCTCTTCATGAAGTCGAATAATGGCCTCCACGAACTCCTCGTGTACAAGCGTCTCTCTCACAAGAAAGTTCCCAATCGACTCAGCGGGTTGTCGACGGAAGCTGAAGTACTGCTGGCAGATGGCGGCGGCGTTGGGTAAGGTACGTCTGACCAGTGGTGAGCTGGCTAGACGACGAAGAAGAAGTTTGGTGCCGCCGCTGGAGTCAAAGTCCATCTGTGACCAGGACATAGCCAGAAGACGAGCCGGTCCCACCAACCTGGTAAGAAGACGGGACGTGCAGTATCTTCTCTTATGTACTGGCGTGCTCAAGACGAACCATGCAACTTCCCTGGTGTATCGTCGCCAGGTCCTTGCCTGGCCGTCCCACGATGGAACCGTAGATTTCTCATGGCTGTCGGCCATGTCTCACCACACTGAAGACAAAGAAAATGAAAAGGAAAAACTGCTGAAGGCAGGTCGGTCGAAGCCAGGATGAATAATGTCACGGGCAGTTGGGCTTCTCACCAGAAAACAAAGACACACTGCTGTCGTACCCAAAGGTCTTTTCCCAGGAGCGTAATTCGCTCCGCTACCAATGCAGCGGAGCTGCAAAGGTAGCAAACGATCGGGCTCAAGAACACGCTAAGTCAAACCAGCAGTCAAAGAAGAGCGCACACGCTCTGGTCTTTTCACGAGCACACAAGCTCGGTCCGATGGCTCAGGTCTCAGTCTATGGCACGGGCCTCTAAAAGGGGCGCCCCTTCCTGATGAGCCTAATGCACGGCACAACTTCATTGGCATCGTCGAAACAGTACGGATCAGTTGCAGTATGCTTGGATCAGCTTCGGATATCCACACATTGAATGAAGCTGGGATTAAGAAGGCTTGTTGGGATAAGCTTCGATAGGGTATACTTCAGAATCTTGGAGTTGCGGAGGCATCGGCTGATAGTCCTACACACCAAATGACATGTCAGAGATGCGTGGGTGCTGTCTTGAAGTGGGCAAAACTGGGGTTTCGCTAGCGCTCCAGGATCAAGGGATGCTTGCAAAGTAGTCTGGCATGAAACCAGAGAATTGGGTATGCTTGGATGAGCTTAGGATCGGGGCGCAATGCCATCACGACTGGCCCTTCGTCAGAATTACCAGCCGGAAACACACATGTAGATCCCGGTCGATGCCGGTTGTCATCCTCTTGCGTCAGTCTTATTCTTTGATATTCCGAATCCACTTTCTGTTCTACTCATCGGTAAACATTGAACACAATTCGATTATTGCAAGTGGACCTGTGGAACCTTTGCGAAGAATCACTACGAAGAAGATCTAGATGCAATATACATTGTCACTGCATGGGGCCTTGAGTCTGGAAAATTTTAGCATGACCTGATGCACATCTTCTCGGCGACTAAAGAAGGAGACAGGTACAGAGCTATGCTATGCGTCCATAGCTCCTTCCACCTATTCCGCTACTTTCTCTGGCTGGCATCACGGAATAGGCTGCCAGCCCAGTGCTCTTTAAATAGCTGTGCATCGCAACTACAGCTGCGAAGGTACTCAATGCTAGAAAGGCTCAGCATTTACCTAAGCAAAAAGGAAAAAATAACCATTAACGACTCAATCCTTAGGTACCGGAGTTCCACACACACACACATGCATACACACATGAATACACACACGAGAATGCATGCATGCCTACACAAACGTGCATACGCATGTAGATACATACGTACAGACATGCTTGTCATTCAATCAATAATACATTCACTCGATCATTCGTTCGTTCATCCATCCATCCGTCCATCCGTGCATCCATGCATCCTTGCCTCCAGGCATCCATTAATTCATTTCATACAATCAATCACTCATGCATTAACTCTTTCATTTCATTTCATTCATACATCCACTCCATTCCATGCGCATATTATATACCCATACATTCATGCACGCAATCAAACATCAAACGAGGCGCAGCTGTGTTTGGCTGGTTGCGGCTGGGTGGCATGGAGTGTGGCCAACTCAGCGCTGCAGTCAACGGACTCCGTAGTTTGCCGTCCTGAGGCAATGATGCCCTGAGATGTGCCCTGACATGAGGGTTGGGGCACTGCCTGGTATCATCTCAGAAAGAACAAGCCTCCAGGAATAGAGATGCTAAAGGATGCTCCCCCTTCTTGGGCACGACCTGATGCATCAGAGCATCATTCGACATATCATAAGCATACAAGGTAAACACCAACACAATGGCAAACACAACTGGGCGTCTCGCGAGATTCTTGGAGTGTGTCAGCCAGTTTGAATATACACGTCGACTGTCGGCGAGATTGCTAGCAAGCGCCTGCACCAGCTGTTCTAATGTTCACGCGCACAAATGGTGTGCGCATGGTTTGATCTGGGGAAATTGTGGCCAGGACCTCTCTTTACGCCTTGGCCGATCTTAGCTCTCGCTTGGGTTGAGGTCCGAGGCTCTACAATGAAGTGCAGGCGCACGGTACAAGCCTCACAAATTGGAATGTCACCCTTGAGGGAGCGCGCTGTCCCCAACCGTGAATTGGATCATAGGGATCAATTCTGGGTATTCGTAGTGGGGTCATCACAGCACCCAGTCAGAATGGGTCCTTGGCATCTCGATCCTCAAATCACGTCGCAATATGGGCCATGTGATCTTTCTGTACTAGGCTGCCGTGCAATAGCATGTGGTGGCCCCTTGGCTTTGGCCATGATTGGAATCTGAGACAACAAACACATGGCACGCGCGCACTTTCAAAAACCAAGGATTGCCTGAAGCCTTATGACGGCTGGGATGGCCCCAACACCAGGAACCACAAGTTCGGAAGGAACGGGCAGCAGAAATTCAAAACAAAACCCCAGTCGCAACCCTGACAACGTGAAGAAGATGACAAGCATCACTGGACTGAGGGAACATCCGCAAGTACCGGATGATCGGCCGATGACAGCCTCATCATCCGGGATGCACACCACAAGGGGGGCGGGCCGGCCGCACCGGCATCATATATAGGGGTCTCTTCAAGTGGAACCTTGTTAAGGTTCGAAGAGTCTTTTGCACAACCGCCTTGCGATGCGCATACTGCGTTCAAAATGTCAAAGGGGAATAAAATCTCAAGCAGGGCACCCACGAAGAGCACTGGGCAATTCAGGCACTTAACATACACACTCTTCAACACCCACGGGGTTGACCGGTCTTCGGGAGCAGTCAGGCTGGAACTGGCTTGCTGAGACTTCTCAGAAAATGCAGAATGGGCGAGAGCCTTTTGACTGTTTTCTGGATCCCAACCCATCCTGACGACCCAAAGAAACCTTTGGCTCGGTTTGGACTTGGGAAGGATGGGCCGGTCGTTTGCCAATGTTGGGCTCTGGACTGGGATCTTGTGGGAAGCAAGCCGCGAGGGCATGCTTTCAGCCTCGAAAAGTTTGTGACCGACACTACCTGGAAACCACGACATTTACCCAAATGCATGTTGGACACTTCCAGACATTCGCGCACTTTGCGTTTCGATGCTCTGGGCTCACAGCGACACCTGAAGGTGCACCGAATCCCTGGTGCCAGCAAACAGCTTACATATCCATTGTCTGCAGATGGCGCACGGGCCAGCAGCATGTTTAATGCCATGTGCATGGCGCTAACGAGCAGCAATCCACGGGGTGGGTCTCTGTTATGAAGATCCCCGAACGAATGGGCCCTGGCCGCAGGCTCAAACGAATTCAAGAAAACGCAAATATGAATCCACACCTGCACGTGCCAAGCCGAATGAGTTTGTTAACATGTACGTACTTACTCTTTACAAACAATCCACAAACAAAGGTTGACAAGCAAACCAGTTCATGATCTTGTAGACCATTACGAGTCGTACGAGATCCTGTTTGCCGACATTACGACACGCAATAGAAGAGTCATAGAACTATGCACAAGCGGGCAAACATCTTCCTAAGTTTACTAGAGGAGCCATGCCCATGCTGCGCAGTCCTGAATACATGACGCCCGCGATCTAGCTGGCTACAACTCTAGCAACAGAAGCACCCTCAAGCGCTGTCCTGTCGTGCTACTTTATTGAATTCGTGTTGTATTGTTGTTGGGTGAGATTACAAAGGCTTTTGCTTGGTCCTGTTTACGTTGCTCACAGCTGTCCAATGGTCAAAACGTTCGTGCAGCAAACAGTACACACGGATGTATGTACGAGAACACGGTATGGACTTCCGCTGCCTTTTTAAAAATCGAAAACGAAATCGTTTCATCCGTGCCTGGCCAGCTTTACTACAAGTTACTACAAGTGGCTCCACATGTCAAACGCGAACCTGATCTTCAATTTGCCTTGCTATGAAAGTTGTGTATCTTTCACGGCGGTAGACTTCGAGACTGCCATTTCTATCCAACAGCCGAACCACAGCCTTTGTTACGGGTGCCCTGCGCAAGACTGCTGCGCGGGGTTTGGTGCCTCTCCACGTAACTCACGAACAGCCCATGAAATGGAAATATACCGCGTGTCGGGATTACTGGCGGTGTGGTCTTTGTTCCACTCCGGTGCAAAGTATCTCCTGGCGGTTGTTGGGTGCCAGTAGGAATAACTGCGTCCTCTTCTTTTACCCGTTTAAGAGATACGGTCCTTATAGGCAGAGGTAAGGGCAACGTTGTGCATAGGCCTTGCTATAGGTGCTAAGGGCGATGAGAAAAATTAAATCTCCTCTTCCTACTGCAGGTCTTTCAAAACTCCGAAGGAAGTTTGGGCATACCGATGCACAGCGGCGGTGTGGTACTTGGTTGTGGATTCCGGAATAATACAGTTCGGCTTCCGCTTCGGAAGCATGGGGCATGGACTGGCCGTTAGCAAAGTATCGTCCGCGTATTCTAGGTCGTAGCTGGGACACTGTACCGACCAAGTGTTAGTCTTGCAACAAGTTGTGGTCAACATCCGTCATGATGACAGACAACACGATGATGACTTGAGAGCCACGTGCTGGGACGAAAGCTCTAGCATGGGCTGGCGACACGGAGCTCACACGAAGAGACACAGAATTGAGTTTCGGTTGCGCCCCCTGCTGCACCGTCGAAGCTCGCCGCAGCTGTTTTTCACAAGGCAGCGGCTCCCACACTGAGTCGGTTGAAGGCAAGGGCCCCTAAACCCTAAACCCTAAACCAGCCTTTCCCCGAGAGCCAGACTCACACGCGCCCACACACTGGTGGTAATGAAGCGGCAGGAGCAAGCCCGCATCGCAGCAAACAAAAAAAAAGTGAGAACAACACTGGCGGGAGCAATTTTGATGCAACATGTCACGAGGAGCGGTTTTGATCCAACATATGAACTCCTTGCCAGACAAAGACAGACAGTCATGTTGCGACATGTGA